TTAAATCAAAAAAGTGTTATTATTATGAACTGAAAATCTTGCTGGTCAAGAATGCGTTATTTTCAGCGATTTTGATAATTTTAAAAAGTTTTTTATCAGGAAACTTTTGTCAAATCAAAGCAAACAATTACAGAATTTGGTTTAGAATGCGATATTTTTATTTTTTAAGGGTTTTCCATTAAAAACTATCAAAATTTGGTAAACTTTATAGAAACAAGACAAAAAATAAAGCAAACTTGAGTTTTTTAATTTATTTTGATGTATTTAGAACGTTTTTCCCGAATTTTTTTTATTAAAAGTTGTTGGGAAATTTCTCTGTAAAATGCAAAGTGAGATGAGTCTCCTTTCCACGATCAATTCCCGTGAACGGCACCTGTAGATCCACCCAAACACAAGGTTGGGAATTGCAAATCTCCATTTATTGCAATTTCCCCGTTTATTCAGTCATTTGCAGGCACAAAGCAGAATGTCTAACACGATTTTTAAACCGTTGCAGGTCGTCACTGAAAAGCGAGCTTTTCAGGAGAAAAAACAGTCGACTTTCACCGATCGAAGTCAACTGAAATATGCGAGAAGACTTGTGGTGAAATTAGGAAGTGCTGTGATTACTCGAGAAGATGAACACGGACTAGCTTTGGGACGGCTCGCCTCAATTGTAGAACAGGTAAGACTCGTAATTTATTACGAATGAGTGCGTTTTATGGGCCAGGGATGTAATCTAGAACGCCTCTTTGCTGGGAATTTCGAGTAATCTTTTTAACTAGATTTGTAGAGAAAGAAAGTAAATTCGGAAAAAAGCAATTAAATCACTCCGGGAAACGGCTATAAAGCAAACCAGGACCAAAAATTAATTTACTGACGAATGAAAATTAAAATCACTTTTTGCACAAATGTAATTATTGGTTTTTCCGACTTGATTAATGAAAGCTTAATTTTCCTCGAAAATTGCAAAATCAGACTTAGAAATAATAATAATAAAAGTGTAAACTTGTGAAATGTTTTTTTCAACACCAGAACAAAAATGCAAAATTAAGACTAAAATGCGTTTTTTTCTTATTTACTAAAATAAAGCAAAAATAGATTCAAAAAAGCGGTTTTTTCACTAATTTTGATGAAATTAAAGTGTTTTACTGAACTTGCAAAATTTAAAAGATTTTGCTAAAGTCATACAAAAAATTGCAAAATGTGGTTTAAAATAGGTTATTTTTTATTTTACAAAAGGTTTTCACCGAGAAGCTATTAAAATTTGAAAAATTTTGCCTAAAAGAGGTACAAAATTGCAGAATTAGAGCAAGACTGCGTTTTTCCTATGAATTTATAAGTGCTTTTTAATAAAAGCTCACAAAATTAAAAAAAAAAGAACAGAGTAAAAAATTTAATGCGTTTTTCACCGAAAAATACCTAAAATTTGAACAAATTTGCCAAAATAGAATAAAAAATTGCAAAATTTGATCAAGAATTATGAGTTTAGGAGTGTTTCTCACTGACAAATGTACTAAATTTGAACTACTATACCAAAACAAAATAGAAAAACTGCAAAATTAAAACTAAAATGCGTTATTGTTTTTCCTTTGTTAAAATAAGACAAAAAATGGGTCGTTATTTTTCCCGATTTTGATGAATTTAGAATGTTTTTCTCCGAAAACTTTTAAAAATTTTTTTCAATTTGCTAAATTAACGTTTTACAAGGGTTTTGTTACTAAAAAACTATCAAGATTTTACTAAAACAAGGCAAAATTTAGATCATTAGATATTGTGTTTTTACTAAAAACTCAAAAATTTCAATAATTTTTTTAAAACAAGGTAAAAAAATGCAGTATTAGAGCGACTCTGCTCATTTTTTTAAAATATGTGTTTTAAATAAAAACACATTGGAAAAAAAATGTTAAAACGGAGTAAAAATTGTATAATTAAGCTGGAAATGTCTTGTTTCTATATATTCAATCCGCCTTTCACCAAGAAATACGCAAAATCGGAACAATTTTACCAGAATAGTATACAAAATTGCAAAATTTTATTAAGAAAGTATTATTTTTTATGAATTTAGGAGTGAACAATTTTAACAAAACAAAATAGGAAGTTGCAAAATTTGAACTAAAATGCGTTCTTTTTTCTTGATAAAATAAAACAAACAAAATAGGTCACTAATGCGTTATTTTTGCCGATTTTGAGTTATTTTTGGCTAGGAAACTTTTGCCAAATCAAGGCAAACAATTACAAAAACTATCAAAATTCGGTAAACTTTATAAAAATAAGGCAAAAAAGGAACCAAACTTGAAGTTTTTTATTTATTTTGATGTATTTAGAACGTTTTTCCCGAGAAACTCTTAAATTTTAGAGATTTTGCCAAAACAAGGCAAAAAAATGCAAAATTAGAGCAAAACTGCCTATTTTTTATGAAAGTAAAAGTGTCTTTTAAATAACAACACAAAATTTAAAAAAAAAGTCAAAATGTCTAAGAAAAAAAAATAGATAAAAATGTAAACGATTTTATCACAACAGACCACTGCAAAATTGAATCAAAAAAATGTTATTATATTGAATTGAAAAAATTGCTGAATCAGTAAAAGAGACAAGAAAGAGACAACATTGGTAAATGTCAAGAATTCAGTAAAAGTAAAAACGCTTAGGCGCAAAAATAGACTTTTTACTCCATGGCTGAAAGGTAAAACTTTTACTTGTGCCATTTAGTCATAACAGTGGTCATTTTTGTGACGTTTGCGAATAAAATCTTTTAAAAACAGGGTATAAATCTGTTTTTCTTAAACTTTAATTTTTTGAAGATTTGTAAACGTTTCAGTTTCCGGTTTAAATCGCCAAGAACATGGCTTCATTTCCGTAATTTTGTGTCAATTATCCAGGCGTAAAATCACTAGCAGTTATTGAATATGCAAGAGGATATTAAAAATTCAAATGAAATCGTTTGTTAACTACTGGAAATAAAATAACTTGTTCCATGATGACTTTGCGAAAACATCGATCGAATCGGCAACGAAAAGCTATTTCGTAATTAAAATTACGCATGTTTAACTTTAGAATTTTTATTAAACTCTTTGATGTATTTCAGCATTGTGCTATAATCCCTGGAAATATTGACTTGACAATTTCGCTTTTTAAAAAAGTTTCAGTATTGCGTGGGAACAAAAACTTCCAATGTGAGTTAATTTGCCCACACGGCAACTTGGAGCTGTATTGATTAATATCTGGAGAAAATTGAAAATTATTTTTACCATTTCCTATCAACAAATTGTGGTTCTTATCAGTAATTATAGATTGTAAAAATTACACGTGCTACGCGTGGTTGTAATTTATTTTCTGTGTTTATCTTAAGAGATTTAATAGAAAAATCACGTTGCAAAAGTGTGTTTGTTTATTAATTTATTTATAAATTCATGCATTAGTAAATGTTTTGCAAACTGAATAATGCAGAATTTTTAAAAGAAAATTCTAAATAATGGATAAGAGTTTATTTTTGTCTTATTTTGTACAAATCGAGTGTCGGGTTTTACGATATGACTAGCATTATTCTCGAGACAAATTTCTGAAAAAAGTAGGTAATTTAAAACAAAGTAGATTATTTGACGTGAAGCACTCTTGCTGAAACTTGTACACCTGCTACAAGGTATTGCACGCTTTTCTGAAAATAAATACAAATTGTAGGTATTTAATTACAAAGTGACACTAAACTAAAATTATTGCCAAACAAAAATGTTTCATTAAAAGTGCACTAGCTACAAAACCGTTTACACTTTTATAGTCTAATTAGCTAGTTTACGATTCCGGTGTTGCAGCGTTGTTCAAACAAGATTCTTTCAGTTTCAGGATGACGTTTATTTGCAACTCATTTGCAGTCAGCAAACATGGATAAGTTTGTTCAGTTAATAATTTTTAAGTTGAAAATTCTAATATTTTCTTATGCAAAATTAAATTAAATATTTGTGGCATTTGGCTTTTTTTCAGGTTTTCTGAGTTTTCTCACCGAATTTATGCTTTAGTTTTACAATTTTTTATTTTGTTTTAGAAATTTTTTAACATTTTATGACTTTCTAGGTAGTAACCACTTTAAATTTATCAAATTCAGCGAAAGAGAGAAAAAAAAATAACGTATTTTGGTCTTAATTTTGAAATTTTCAATTTTATTTTGCTAAAATAGTTTAAATTTAGTAAGTAGATTGAAAATAACACTTTTTTAATTTAATTTTGCTTTTGGTAAAATAGTTTAAATTTTGTCTATTTCTTTGTGAAAAACGCATTTCTATGTTTTTAAGCTTAATTATAAAAAAATTTACTCCGTTTTGACAATTTTTATTTAAATTTTGTGTTATTTTTTAAAAAACACTTTAAATTTTAATGAATTTTGTGTATTTTTCGTTGAAAAACAAATTGGATATGTAAAAACAACGTATTTCCAAGCATAATTTTACAATTTTTTTTACTATTTTTACTTTTTTCAAATTTTATAAGTGTTTTATAAAACTTACCGGTACGTACACAATACGAAGTTTTGCTCTAATTTTGCAATTTTTTACCTTGTTTTGTCAAAGAACTATTAAATTTACTCAAATAGACAAAAATAAGGCATTATAATTATTCTTTTCCACTTTTTTCTTTGTTTTAGCAAAATTTGTCGAATCGGAGAGTTTCTCGATCAAAAACTTTCATAATTTATTTTATATCTAAAAAATAAAGCTAATTTTGCAATTTTGTTTTTTTTTTTTTTTTGATTTAGCAAAATGTTTTAAATTTCTTGAGATTCTTGGTAGAAAACATTCTAATTTGTGATTTCTACAGAGAAATACACAATATTCAAACAATTTTACTAAAACAGAATGAAAAATAGCAAAATTTGACTAAAAAGTGTTATACTTTATAAATTTAGAAGTGTTTCTCAATGACAAATTTAAAATTTGGTGTAGAACTAAAAACCTATGAAAATTCGATAAATTTCATCAAAGCACGGCAAAAATTAGACCAAACATGGATTTTTTATTTATTATTTTGATGTATTTAGAACATTTTTCTTTTAAAAAAAATCTTAAACTTGAAAGATTTTGTCAAAAACAGGTAAAAAATGCAAAATTAAGAGCTGTTTATTGTTGATGAATGTACAAATATTTTTTTAAAAAGAAACACAAAATTTAGTTGGAGAATTTCTCATAATTTATTTTATAGAAAATAACGCAGCTAAACCTAATTTTGCAACTTTGGTTTTTTCAATTTAGAAAAGTCTTTTAAATTTTGTGAGTTTCTTGGTAGAAAACACTCTAATTTTATATGAATCAGCATAATAACGCGTTTTTTGCTTTATTTTAGCAAATAAGAGCACTTTAGCCTTAATTTTCCAATTTTTTATTTTGTTTTCGTAAAATAGTTTATTTTTGCGTATTTCTTTGTGAAAAATGCATCAAATATACGAAAACAAGACATTTCTAAACCTAATTTTACAATTTTTACTCCGTTTTGGCATATATTTTAATAAAAATATAAAAGTTAGCTGTTTGTTGAACAAGCTCTTTACATACCATTTTACCAAAATTTGGCTATAAATGTGTTTAATTTTTTGTGAAAATCTTACTTTAAAAAAAATTAATTTTTTCAGATGTGTTTTAATCACATTTAGGAATGTATAAAAGAGAAAAATTAAAAAAAATAACAACACAACAAAAGAAGTTAGGAAGCCTATTCGAAAGTCAATTAAAAATGCGTTTTGAGTTTAGTTAAAAATCGAGGAAAGATAATAAAAACAAATAAATAATAAAATTGTGCTTTTTCCTAGAAATGTGGAAATCTTTCCCACAGTTGTATCCATTTCCTCGCCTCGTCGTTGAATTAGAGAAAAATCACTAATGACACCGGGTTTCCTATAACATTGTGGCTTTTGAGTTGTTCGTGGAAAGCCAGCGAGGGGCTATTCGTTTTATAATTGAGACGTCAGATTCACTCTTTCCTCTTTTGATTGCAGGTTGCAGAATGCCAGAACGAGGGCAGAGAATGCATTATGGTAACAAGCGGTGCTGTGGCCTTTGGCAAACAGAAATTGACCCAAGAATTGCTCATGTCTCTGTCGATGAGAGAAACCCTTTCACCTACGGATCACACCAGAGAGGTATGGACCTTTTCACCACCATTCACATTACACAAGACGACAAAAAAAAGTCATGTCGTGACAACTTGACATATTTTATATAATTTTGTTCGTCTCAGTGAGACACATCAAATGCACTAAAAAAAAATTCAAAAAGTCCACACACTTTGAACTAATTAATTTTTTTCTAATTTAAATGAATTTAAAATACTTTAACTTTGAAAAATCATTACTCAATAACTATTAGGTCGATTTCCTTCAAATAAAAACCATTTTAAAAGGATGGTTTTGCCCTTTAGGATGATATGAAATTTGAAATTGAATATTGGCAAACTTTTCTTCGAACGGTGATCGAAGAAGTTTGAAGTAAATGGAAATAATCTAAGAAAAACCCTACGAGTATTTTTTTTATCATTACCATTCTGTAGAGCAGCTCTTTATTAGTTGTAATCCAAATTTTCAAAAGAATATACAGAGTATTTTTCAAGATATGATTTTTTGAAGTTAATATTTGCTAATCAAGCATTGATCCATATAGGAGAAATGCATGTTAATCTTACTTAAAATTGCATTTTTATAAAAGTATTTGTTTTAAGAGTCCTCTTTTGCTTAAAAATGGTCAATTGCACCTTCTTTGTTGTAATTAGAATAAACAAAAACTGTTTCTTTACTTAAAACAAATAAAAAGTACCTGCGTACTAATTAAAGCAAATAAAGAGTTTTTTTGTTGTAAAAATGACCACTGATCATTGAGCACAGAGGATCTAGAAGTTTAAGGCACGAGCCTTAAATATAAGGGCAAATATTTTTCAAATCAAATCACTTTCCATTTAGATTTCGATTTGTGCACTTTGTTCTAGCTTTTTGAACTTTTTATGAAAATATTTTGAGCAAATGCTTTCTCATCACTTTCGAGTGTAGAATTTTTTTATCGAGAAACCACGAAATTGATTAAAATATTGTTTTTTACGAGATTTTACTAAACTGGATTGAAAATAACAATTTACTTTATAATTTCCTCAAAATTTCGTGAAAAACCTGAAATTCAATAAAATAGGCGAAAAAGTGTGTTGTTTTTGCCGTTTTCGAGTATTTAAGCACGTTTTTGAAATAAAAACAAAAATTATTGTTTAAACAGGCTAAGAAATTACAAAATTAAATAAAAACCAAATTATTTTTTGCTTGTTTCCCTTGACTTACTTCGCTTACTTTGCAAAATCTTATCTAAAAACGCTTAAAATTTGTTTGTTTCGCTTGGTTTACTAATAATAATTAGTAATAACTAATTTTTGTAAGTAAGTCGAGAAACCATCACAAAATTTGGTCGAAAATGCTTTCTAGCACATTTTTGTATTAAAAATTCAAGGTTTTTACGGGATTTCTGTAAAATAAACCAAAAAAACAACAAATGAACTAATGAAGTTTTAAATTATATTATTTTTTGTATTTCTCGAGCGTTTTAGCACGTTTTTCATCTAAAAACGCACTTTTATTGTTAAATTTCGTAAAAAAAACACGGAATTAGACCAAAAATTATGTCATTTTTGCGTTTTTAACTGACAATCTTGTTTCTTTTCACGAGATTTTGCCATATTGAGTCAAATATCACGATAATCTTGTAATCTAGTGAAAATATTTAGAAACTTTCTTGGTAAATTTTATTTTTTTGAGCTAACTCTGTTCATAACATATAAGATGGCATTAATATCAATATTAAATTATATTTTTGCATCTTCTTCGAGCAGTTTTCTCGCTTTTCAAGTAGAATTTTGTAACGAAAAACCATTAAGAGTCTTAAAACAAATACTTTTATAAATATGCAATTTTAAGTAAGATTAACATGCATTTCTCCTATATGGCGCAAACCTTAACTTCAAAAAATCATATCTTAAAAACTACTCGGTATATTCTTTTGAAAATTTGAATTACAACTAATAAAAAGATGCTCTACACGATGGTGACAAAGAAAAAAATTTACTCGTAGGGTTTTTCTTAGATTACTTCGATTTACTTCGAACTTTTTCGAACACTGATCGAAGAAAAGTTTGCCAATATTCAATTTCAAATTGCATATTATTCTAAAGGGCAAGTCCATCCCTTTAGAATGGTATTTATTTGAAGGAAATCGGCCTAATAGTTATTGAGTAATGATTTTTCAAAGTTAAAGTATTTTAAATTCATTTAAATTAGAAAAAAATTAATTAGTTCAAAGTGTGTAGACTTTTTGAAATTTTTTTAGTGCATTTGATTTGTCTCACTGAGACGAACAAAATGATATAAAATATGTCAAGTTGTCACGACATGACTTTTTTTTGTCGTCTTGTGTTATAATATTCTTTAGAAACAGAGTGAAACCTTTAAATATTTGCTTTTTCTAACTAGTTTGAAAACATGTTGAAATACCCCAAAAAAGGGTTGTGTGCTGAATAGACCTTTTGTAATAGTGTTTTCTATGGTATAATCCTATTCATTTCGTACTCGACGGACGTCTCTTTAAATACCCCAGAGGATCGGTTACGGCAGCTATCGATTTCAAGGCACACGTTTTTGCGATCGAGGATTTTATTGTTCCCTGGAATTGTTTTACAATAGCTCCGGTAGGATTTGCCCGGAAAAAAATTCGATTGCGAAGGACTCTTCACAATTTCAGGGACGTTTGCGATGCTATCTGCGATATTAGCACAACCTGTGGAATACTGAAATATCGATTTTTATTGCACTTTTCATGAAAATCTGGTTTGTTTTAAGAAATTTAAATAATTTATTGGAGTTGCTCTTGTTTGTGCAAAAATAGACTTGAAATATGCATTTCAGCTTATTTTGAAGAAACATTTCCAATGATGCATAACATAACAAGAGAATAAAAGATTTCTTATTTCGGGTTAAATAATATAAAAAGATTGTTGAATTAATTCAAAAAATTACAAAAACAGGCTTGTTTAGAGAGAAAATTGCTCTTGTTTAAAAATATTTTTTTGAAATTAGTGTAAGAAGTCTAAG